CAGAGCTGAGCTAGTGTGCCGCTTTTTTATGTCTTACAGGCCAGAGAAGTATATCTTATGGATGCGTATCTGCAGTTCGGAAAACAGTTTAAACAGAGATTGCGGTAGTTATAGACGTATCATTTAGCGCAGCGCGAAGTGGAATCAAGTGTGCCGGGAAAAGTCGTATGTAAAGTGAATCGACTCGAAGGCAATTAAGCAAAGAAGAATCCAATAAAATTACAAAATACCTGAGACACAAAGAAACCTTGAGTGCATGAAAGTATTTCAGGCAAGAGAAAGTTAAAAACCACACATATAAAAAACAATTACACAAAGGAAATAATTCATAAGTTGCAAAAAGATATAAGCAAATACGCATACAGAACGCAATTAATTGCACTTCGTGAGTAAACGCAGTAAAGCGAAGGAGGAAAGCAAAGAAAGTGATATCGCGCCCACTTACATACATATCTACTTACAAGCATACATTTTTCGCGTAGCGCGTATAAACGCGGATATGGAAGGTCTAACACGCTCATTGAATTTCGAACTGCCACACGAATTGCCACCCTTGGACGACTACGCGCAACAAATACTCGAAAACAGTAAGACGGTTATACCTGCCACACCCACAGTGCCCACTTTAAACTTTTCGGCGGCCTCGATCAACACCTCAAGTGATATTTTTCAAAGAATTGGGGCCACGCTACTTAATTCTATACAATTACAAAAATATATTAAAATCGATAATTCGCCAGTTGTGGATAGTCCGCTCCCTGTGGAAGACAATATGGACTTGTTTGGGATACCCCCACCGAACCATGTATCAATCGACTCATCCGGATTTGATACCGTCGATGAGCTGCACCGCCAATTGGAATACGACAAGTTCATGAACGAAGTCTGGATTGGAATTGTGTTGACGCTAATACTCATATCGATGGTGTTCTGCATTTGCTCGTGCTTCCTGTACCACCAGTTCCGGACGTGGAAAAGAAATTGTAAGTAGTATTCGAAAGAAAAATTCATTGATAATTGAAAGTCTAACCGTTAAGAATAATTGAACGTAAAAGAAGTGTATAGAGTCGGAGAAAAGGTATTTAAATATACAGTGGCGAAAATATACATAAAGAAGAGACATTTCAGCATTCTTTGGCTATTTGCCTTTCGATTATTTAATTAGAAAAATTCGACAATTCATCAAAACTTCGAGTTTTTGGTTTCTAAGACACGTTCTGAGTATGCAGTTTTGTAGTCCATACATTTTTTTTGTGGAAGATGTTGCTAATTTCTCCATACAAAATTAGCCCAGTAAAATTAGATAAATTTGGTAGGAAAATTGAAAAAAATTATAACAGCGATTTTTTGATGCAGTTTACTTCTATTTGACAAGTAGATCATGGATCCACAGTCTTACCCCTAAATTTCATTTGGCAACATCCCGCCATCTTGGATTTAAGTTTTTTTGATTTTTTTCCAAAGGCAAATTCTCACTCTTCTTGAGGAGAATCTCTCAGGCCAGCATTGTTGGCAATCTTCATAGTAATATCATAGGCCGAGGTGGAAACGCGGAGACAGCACAGCTCTGTGTCTCAGCGGTTTGAGTACTTTTTAGTAGTATAATCAGCGTGAGAAAAAAATTGTAGTAGATTTCACAAACAACCCATATGCTTGGCAAACGCTTAGATGCTCTCCAGTGACCACTTACGCGATCATTCGCTCGCTCTTTCAACTCACAATCGATCGGCTGTGCCGTGAGTACTTCAGCCGACTACCTGTTTTCCGTCAATTCTTCAGCTTACCTCACCAGTACTGGTGTGTCTATTTCTTATTGCTTCGTTTATTCTTTTCTGTGCGTATTTTTTTTTTTGACGGTGAATTTATAACAAAGACCTAATTTTCTTCTGAAAATGGATTTCTGTCAGTTTAACTGCTCTTTCCGCTGTGCATCACGTACATATGTATACCTCGAACCCTCCAACGTATGCTGTTTTCCATGCCGTGCAAGTATTACCGTCTGTTCTTGCTCATTTGCCGCTCGGTTACGCACCAACAAGCATCACCAAGAACATATATTATTCTGCTCTTTTACTACAATTTCCTCATATACGGATGGATAGTTGGATGGGTGGGAAAAATTCCTCTAGTTAGTCGGTTTCTTGCGTTGTTGTTCTTTTGTACTACTGTAAAACCATGAAATGATCTTATTCTCCCTTTTTGGAATATGTATCTCTGTTTTTGACGAAATGTCTATTTTGCTAGGTGTTTTTGAAGCAAGGACAGGGGATGCCAATTTCTAACAATAGATTTAAATTATGGGGCCCATAATTGGCGTTACAAAACAATTTTAAGGGAAAACTGATTGATGTTAAGCCAAATAATCTTAAGGAAATATATTGAGCTCAAAACAGTGGGTTATATTGTTTATTCCTAAATATTGGATGGAAGCGAAGTTGACTTTACCCAAGTTATTTAGGTGTTGTATATAGTTTATCTGAAGATGCATCCGAACTTCGTCTAAATCTATAAGATGGGTTAATGCCACCCGTGGTGAGTAGTATTATTTACATAAGATTCAAGCATTTTGATCCATTGGGCAAAACTTTGCGGCTTCAGAGTAAACCCAGAAACAATAGAATAAATGCCTTTACTGGCAAGACAAAAGCTTCCAGCTAAGTGTCTGGATGCTATTTGCTCCTTTAAATGGCACTGACGGATCCAAAAGAAAATATGCTTTCCATTCTAAGTAGAAGCAAGTTCGTTTGTCAGATATCCATAATGCCGTTTTGGTCCTTCACCAACGAGACTCAAAGAA